AGTCAATACATAAATCATTTCGGGAAGTTGGTGCCTTAGATGATATAAGCATGAAGTTGCTATTGAATGTAGAAACCTAGAATATGAATTTAGTGATTTATTGCGGTCTTGTTGATCTGATGGTTTCACTCAGCTAGATTTTAAGAAAATCTGAATATGCTTTCATAAAACTGGGGTGTTGGTTTGAACTTCAAATTATCACAGGCAGCAACACTTGAGTAAGGCAGGGAACAGGAAAATAACAAGTACAATCGAGAGAATAGAGAACGGGTAAAGAAGTGTAGACAAAGGGAAATAACAGATTCAGACATTCTATTATTTATCTAAAATTAGATGACATCCAAGCAATTCTCATAGGGCATATGTTTATAAGTATACCGCCATCCAGAGGTTCCTTAGTTTGACTCTTATCTGGAATGATTGAATGTCATCCCTTAGTGCAATGAATATCAACTGAGAAAAGGCCTGCTTAATTAGTAATTGCATGGCTCAGAACAATGTGGACATTTGTCCTGCCACCTGCATGCCGATGTGGATGAACATCTGTCTAGGACTGCTCAGCTAGTGAGGTTAGCCTAGGCTGACCATGACTGGGTAAGGTTTGGTACCCTGGCCTTGGCTGCTCCTGGGCTAGGCTGGACAAATGCCTGCATTGGCCCCTGTCAAAGTCCATCCCGCTTGGGGTTTGTGGCTGTCCTTTTTAGTGACCTCACATTTGACATCCACCACCTCTTTCACTTAAGTTGCTCTCATCATCATCTTATCTACCTGCTGTAGGAGATTTATACTATTCTTGGAAGGGCCTCAGTTGCTGATAGGTGCTGTAAAGTTTCGGTTCTTGACATCATGAAGTAGTTGCACTCCAGTTGGCAGTTCTCTGACATCAGACTCCTCCGGAAGGTCAATGAAAACTACTTCTCAATCCCTGGTTCATTATGTTGGTTCCTTCTCCATTCCCTGAAACACCCTTAGCTGACTTGAGTAGTGATGCTTTTACTGAGGTGAATCTGAAGTCTTTTGGACTTTAACTCTCTCTGTATCTTGGCTTTTGGTCGGTCTCTTTAGCAGCTTCACATGCCCTTTGTGTTGACTTCAACACGGTAAAGCCTAGGTCTAGGTAGTGACAAAGCGTTGGATAGATATTCTTAACCCACCAAGTAGTATTACTAACAACACCTAGCTCCAGAGAGAAATGGTTTGGCTCATCCTACCTTGTCTTTCTGCATTTATATGAAATCAAACCATGGGTTTAAGTGCTTGAAGTACTTGTTGCCATGACCTGGCCTTATTTGACTGGTACAACTCTGGTTGCTTGGTCCATTTGCATTTATGCAGATAATTGTGTATTATTTCCATTGCTATTGACAGTAACTGTGTATTGTCTATCATTATTATCCATGTCAATCAGGATGCTGTTTCGCTTGTGAGAGTGGAAGACGAACCTGAGGCTGCAGCTCGCAAGTTAACAGAGACTGCCTTCTCTTGTGGCAGTGCAGACAACATCACATGCATCGTAGTCAGATTCCATCAGGAAAATCTTGACAGGGAATCTCCACCTCCAGCAGGAACACTAGATTGAAGTATCACGGAGACGGCACGGATGCAGTTTTCCATCTTTGCTTTTTGATGTCCACTACGTACCTGCCAGTCAAGATGTTTGCCGAAATCTCCCCGGTCAGCAACCAACAGGTGGGCATGTTATCGAGCCTATCAGATGATCATTCCAGGCCTAGTTTCATTTGTTAATTTATTCTTCAAAGCCATAGGAACATTCTGATCATGACATCTGCAATTGTTTTTGGTGTTGCCAAACGTGTCTAAACAGCAACTTTATCAGCAGAATTCTGTGGCGTGGGATGATAATAGGCTGTTGTTGGTGCAAGCATCACATACACAAAGCAAAACGTTCTAACTTTCCAAAAGGAAAAAGATAAAAAAAAGATGTGATAATTGCAGTGTCAATGGTGAAATGGTTGTCAGGAGCCAATGATAATACTGTGACATCAATTGCCAGACTCTTTCCATCACGCTGCTGCTCCAGGTGATCTAAATTCGTGTCGTATTCTGTTTCATGTTCTTGAGTCTCTTTTCCCCAACTTTCCCAACCTGTACAGATCATGGAAGAAAGACGTCGTTGGTTGAAGACCAAGAATAATGTGTCCCACACGATCAAATTTAATTGACCTCTGCCCCCAGGCCATGTGTCACTGGTAATTATGCTCTTCTGCATCTCTTGGATCCAAATCTTTGCCATGTGGGCAGCAGTGATTTCTGTGGTTCCCATACGAAACAGCCTAACTAGCACAAAACCTCCAAGAAACCTCATGTATTTTAATCCGCAGGAGATTAAACCATACTTTTGAGAGGACCTAAAAAAGAACCGAGTTTTTTTGGCTACTACGATAGCATTATTTGCAGGCCAAGGCGGGACACGACACGCGCTTTCCTTCAAACCGCCACTTTCTGTTACCGATGGAGTTAGAAGGAGGTCCTCCTGCTTCTCTCGCTTTGCCCTCTTTCCCTTCCTTGTATTTTTCTCTTCTTGTTTTCCTTTTAATCGAAGACTACCCGTTTCGGAGCCGGAATCTGGGTTCCAGAACGACTCTATCTCGTATAAGAATATTAGAGAGAACAAGAACAAAGCCAAGTTTCGATCTTATGATCGCTGAAACAGGTATCCGCATCTTCCACTTCCACTGAAGTCTTCTTGGGATCCGCCGACTGATCGATCTTGCTCATTTTTTCTTTTTCTAGTGAGATCTTGTTCCCGAAAGAAGACTCGTTGTTTGGCTTTTCTAGTGAGATCCCATTTCTAAAAACCACCGGCGGTGCCTTTTTGTACTCTTCTTTTTGTTTGGGTTTTAGATATGGTGTGGCGGCCGCCGGTGGCGCCGCTGCTGTTAGCTATCCTCCTCGCGGTACAAAAAGGTGCCGATGAAGAGGCGGGGGGAGGTGGTGTCGATCACCGACTTCGGAGGAGTTGGCGACGGGCGGACGCTTAACACGGCGGCTTTCGAGAGCGCCGTCTCCCGATTCGAACAACTGAACGCGCCAGCGGGAACGGGTGGAAACTTCATCCCCTCCTCTGATCTTAGTTATCGGTTGGTGTAGGATGCATCGAGTTGGCCCTTGATCGATCCTCTACCATCATATGGGAGAGGACGTGAGCTTCCGGGTGGGAGATACATGAGTTGATTCATGGAAATGGGCTTCAAGATGTGATTATTGCAGGTTTTGCTCTTAGATTATGGTTTTGGTCTTTGCTACCTGTTGTTGCTATTTTATTTGCAGAAAAGGGTGGGCATCCCTCTGTGCATTCCATAGAAACAGAAGTAGATGGGAGCTAAGAGTACAACTAAATTTTAGATTAATTATTCATCTAGAAGCATAAGACAAAGATGACTGGATAGCTTCTGCATCATTGATCTTAAGCTGGAGACTTATATATGTTTTCTTAAGCTTCAACTTCTTTTTGCATTTAGTTTTTTCAAAATGACTTACCAAAATGGTAGTAAGTCTTTTGTTAATGTGATCCCTTTATAAAGAACTATGTTATTATACATGACCACATTTGAGCTCAAATAGATCTTCTTCATGATCAACAAAGAAAGAAAGGATTATCATTGCAGCCCATATGGCTGACTGATGTTAGAAAAAGGAGATTTCCAAGGTAGCTTTCTGCGAAGACCTGGAAAATAGTAGACAGTTGAAAGTTCAAATTTAGGTTACCAGATGGTTGATGGCCAATTGATTGCCATAGAGCTAGGATGTTGCATATATTCTCCTTGCTTATAGAATATATTTTCCCTACAATTTCTATTTAAAACTTCGAAGAGATCGTATAACATTATGTATTCTTATCATTGCAGCAATGTGGTAGTGAGAAATGTGACTATCTTGGCTCCACATGATTCTCCTAATACTGATGGAGTCGATCCAGGTATGTTATTCGAGCTCATCCTCTTTATGTTACTGAGCGAAAACTACTGTTATATTATTAAGATGGTTGTATCTGTAGCACTCAGTGACATTATGTTGATATCCATCACCGGGGCACATGTTCTCATAATAAGCATGACAGCAATTCTTTTGGCTACACTAACATGTCCAGTTCTTAAACTACTGAATTATCGACTTTGTGCATCTTGCAGATTCAAGCTCTAATGTGTGTATCGAGGACTGCTACATTTCAACAGGGGAAGATTTAGTGGCTATGAAGAGTGGTTGGGATGAGTATGCCATTGCTTATGCTCATCCTAGCTCTGGGATAACCATTCGGTGATTAACAAGGTCCAGTCCCTTTGCTGGTCTTGCTGTAGGTAGTTAAACTTCTGGTGGAGTAGAGATTGTCTAAGCTGAAAACTTAAATGTATTCATGACCGCCATTGGGATCCATATAAAGACCAATGCTGGCAGGGGAGGGTTCATCAGAAACATAACGGTGTCAGACGTGAATCTAAGCAACGTTCACAAGGGGTTGAGGATCGCAGGAAATGTGGGAGGTCACCCAGATGACAAATATGGCCTTAATGCTCTTCTTGTTGTTGATGGATTAACAATCAAGAATGTTAGAGGTGTGGGTATGCAGCAGCCTGAAACAATGCAGGGGATCAAGAAATCTCCCTTCACTCGAATATGCCTCACGAATGTGAAGCTCTATGTCAATGGGCCATGCAAAGTGCCATGGATGTGCCCTGATGTGAGTGGCGGTGCCCTTAAGGTGCAGCCATCACCTTGCACAGAGTTGACCGGCGCAAATGACACGAGCTTTTCTACTAATGCTTTCTGGTGTCCATTTCTGTGGTAAATACCCTTAATCTGCAACAAAGGGGGTGTTTTTACATTTTGGTGAATGTTAATAAGAGATTTGAGATCTGATGATACTTGTATATCCAGTTGTTTTGAAGCATAAAAGGATTGGAACACTAAAAGCCAAAGAAACTTCTAATGTGTCAAGTGAATGATTTGAGTGATTTATCAAAAAGTAAGACAGCAGGTTGTCTCCCTGATACATACATTTCATATCTCCAGCTGTGAAATGTTGTTCACATTTAGTGTTTCTTACTCCAATTTCTTACAAAGTGTGTTTTTTTTTTTTGGCCAAGCTCTTCCAGTTTCAAGCACAGCGACTATTTTCTCCAATATGACAGGTCAGTGTATTCTCAGCTCGTTGCAATTACTTATCGATTGATGGAGATGAAATCTTGGACATATTCATGATGCAGTTTCTGATGGTTGCAGGCATTGCAGACTCTTTCTTCTCTGCAGCAGTCGTTGATGAACAATGTGTTTGAACACGATCATCCGTATTGGTGAGCGATTGCCATCATCAGGAACATGATCATCTTCTATCTTCTATGTGCAGGTTTCAGTGTTCTCCCATCTCCCATGAGTTGTCTCCAGATCATCTTGTTTCCACTTCACCAGAAGTCGTTGCAAGAGCACTTTCCATCCCTGAAATGGTGAAACCGAGCCCCAGCCCTGAGAAGAATCTCGCGACCAGTCATCTGCGACATGTACTTTGCCACCGTATGACAGTCACTGCACACTCTCGTATTCTTTATCACCCTAATTGCTGTGCCCTCACCAGTGCAGATCAGCCCATATGCCATTGCCAGCTTCTCCGTGTGGCTCAGCAGCAACTTCTCCTTCTCTTCCTCTCCAATGTGGTGGGCGATGCAGCTGGTATCAGGCACATATCCTCGTCTCCTCATCTCCGACACCAGTCGATACAGCTCGAAGTATATCTCCCCGGTATCAGGGTGAGGTGGTCCTCCTTCCACGCCGAAGACATGCACGGTCTGGTCGATCTGTATCCAGCTCCATCCACCCCTGCTCTCCACTCCTGCTGCATTCTTCGCATCCCTCACGTCCTCAGCATCTTCCCAGCGGTTCTCGCAGGCGTATATGCTCATCATCAACACATAGTTTGCCGGATTTGATGGCTCCAACTGGAAGAGTTGCTTGGCAGCCATTTCTGCGAGCTCCACGTTTCTGTGAGTTCTGCATGCTGCGAGCAGGGAGCCCCAGATGCCAGCATCTGCCTCCAATGGCATGCTCTGGATGAAGTCCCATGCCTCGTCGAGGTATCCGCATCGAGCAAGGAGATCGACCATGCAAGTGTAGTGCTCCAGAGTTGGGGTGACACCGAACCCTTTCATGCCATCAAAAAGCTTCCATCCTTGGGTCACCAAACCTGAATGCCTGCACCCTGAGAGAACTGCAGTGAAGGTGATACCATCTGGCTTGATTCCTTCTCCACACATCCGATCGAAGAGTGAAATCGCTTCTTCGCCTCGACCGTGAGCTGCGAATCCCATGATCATGGCGTTCCATGAGGCCAGGTTTCTGTGCCTGAGCTTCTCAAACACCCTGTTGGCCTCGGCTAAACTGCCGGACTTGGCATACATGTCGATGAGCGCGGTGGCCACGAAGATATCGTCGTCGAGGTCTCTCCTCGCCGCGAAGCAGTGCAGTTCTCTGCCCTTCCCTAGCAGGGCCATCGCCGCACAAGCTCGGAGCAGGCAAGCGACAGAGACCGAGTTGGGCTGAACTCCCTCGCTCAGCATCTCCCTGAAGAAGTAGATGGCGTCTTCGTATCGTTCATTGCGGCAGCAACCGGAGATGACTGCAGTCCATGAGACCACATTTGGAACCACACCGTTTGCTTTCAGCTGACGAATTAGTACTACCGCCTGCTTGCTTCGCCCATGAATGGAGTATCCCGAGATCAAGCCATTCCATGTTGTCAAATCGGGCTGCTCTCCTTCCTCCTCCATCTGCTCCATCAGTTGCAGAGCTTCCTCGAACAACCCTTCATGTGCGTACCCTGAAATCATCGAGTTCCATGTAAGTACGTTTCTGTGCTTCATGCTATGGAAGACACTTCGAGCATTAGATAGATTTCGACATCTGACGTACATGTCTGTCAGCGCAGTTCCTACGAACACCTTCCGATCGAGCCCGTGCCTGATAGCGTATCCATGGATTGTCTTGCCCAACTCAACCAAACCAGAAAGGGTAACGGGACGAAGAACACTTGTGATGGAGCTGGAATTCGGCTGGAATCCATCTTCCTGCATCTTTCGGAGAAGCTCGAAAGTCCGGTGAGGCGATCCGTGGTGAGAGTGACCGGAGATCAAGCAATTCCAAGTAACCAAGTCGGGCTCCGCTCCGAAAGCCACCATGTCGCGGAACAGCTCCAAGGCGTCCTCGAGAAACCCATTGAGAGAACAGCAGGAGATGATGGAATTCCACGACACCAGCGTCCTTCCTCCCATGTACTCGAACACTCTCCTCGCTAGCTTCACCAGCGAGTTCTTGGAGTACATGGAGATCAAGGAGTTGCTCACCAGTGCGCACTGGAAACTCCCTGATCTGATGACATGTCCATGTATCACCTTGCCTTGCTTGACAGCCTCGAGTCTCCCGCAGGCATGCAGAGCTTTGGCCACTGTGACTTCATCAGCTTCCAGGCCAACGAGCTGCATCATTCGGAACAAGTCGAGTGCTTCGATCCATTTCCCTCTCTCCACATTGAGCACAATGAAGTTGTTCCACAAAATCGAATCCTCGGTAAACGACGACTCTTCAAACAATCTATCGGCGGATTCTGAGCTGCAACAACGGGCGTAGAAATCCAGCAGAGAGCACCTGATGTAAGTTTCATTCGCCAGGCCTGCTTTGGTAACATGCGCATGAATCTGAGAACCCAACCAGAAATCTACTAACTCCGCACAGTTCCTTAAAGCTCTGCGGAAAATGCCTACGCTGAGCGTGATTCCTATCCTATGCAGCTCCCGGAAAATCTCGAGCAACTCGCGGGTACTTCTTTCTCCGGCGCCGTCGAAAGAATCGATCAGATAGCTCCACGAAAGAGTGTCAGATTGCAAGGCAATAAAGAAAACTGCGGCAGCCGATCGGAAATCTCCAAACTTCGAGTAGACTTGAATGAGGAAGTCCATCGCGGACTTCGAGCTCCGCGGCTCTGCGGCCTTTACAATCCGGGCATGGACTTGCTTGACTGAGACCAGAGATGTGGAGTAGATGGGATCGTCTAAAGCGAGTGAGGGGGAAGGGAACGTGAGGACAGCAGGGGAAGTCTCGACGGCGGCGGGTGAGGGTTGAAGTAGGGCTTGCGGGACGGGAGAGCTCGTTCTTCTCCATCTCTTTCTCAGGTCGGCGGAACGCTTGCAAGGGGAAGAGGGTCTAAAGCTGCGAGAGGAGAGGGTTTGCTCCATGAGAGGACACAGAAGTGAACAGTAACGGGTTCAGGAAGAGCAGGGAGGAGGAGGGAGGAGGAGACTGAGCGCAGTGGTAGAGGAAGACCCGAGCTTTTCACCATGGCCAGCCATGACTGTGTAGAACAAATGGATAAGGTCGGGGAGTCTGGAGCAGCCAGTTACTGGTAGATGATCCCTCCAGGCTTTTCAATAGATTTGGTACCGTGGTCAACAACGAGGATGTGGAAAAGGGTCTGCTTCCCAATTTGTTTCAGCTACATGAATCGCTTACATCATCATTAATCAAGGTAATATTACTCAACTTATTTATTGCTTCAAATACAATTATTTTAGGTCTTTATCTGATTTAAAAAAAATATATATTAACATAAAAAGGAAGTGAATGCAACCCGTGCTATCAGAAAAAATAATTAAATGTGAGGAGGACATGACCTGAGATAATATCAATCAACTAATCAATGAGAGATCATTGAGATCAGTATAGTCAGCACACATCCTCTAATTTCTATTAGAGTTTTTAACGAGTACAACGTTGGCGAGCCATTCTCTCGAAGGAGTTATTAAATTGTATCTCTCTCTTCGAGAAATGCTACCTCGACCTTGACAACTTGATCAGGTCGAGCCTTATCTATGGGTGCTTCGATCAATGGCTCCATTGACTCAAGATGTGGGACAAACTTAATAAAGTCTCAGGGGTCTATAGATGGCACCTCGAATCAAGCTTTTTTCAATAAGATTATTATCGTTAACTAGCATTAGTGACTCCCTTAGGTTGCTTCTTAGCTTTCCAATACCAGTTCTCGTCAGAAACTTTACCACCATATAGTAGGTCGACGCCATCACCCTCTATCTATTAAGTATAGGTCGACTTATAATTACATTATATGCCGAGGGGTTATCTACCACCATAAATCTACTTAGTATTGTTTTGGAGCATGACTCATCTCCAAATGTAATGTGCAAATTCATGATCCCGAGAGGGGAGATAGAGTCACTAGTGAACCCCGTTAGTGAAGAAGTCATAGGGGTAAGATTGTTAGTCAAAAGCTCGAGTTTTTGGAAAGCATCAAAGTAGAAGATATCGGCAAAGCTACCTGTGTCAATTATGACCCTCTTCACTCAAGCATTGATCATCCTTATAGAAACTATCAAAGCATCATTATGGTTTGAGTCAAAATACTCCGTCTCTTCCTCCTTGAAAGTTATCTCCAAGTCACCCTCTGTCCTTGGGAGATTTTCAATAATAGCTCGGGCATAAGTTTTACAACTCATGGAGTTGTCTCCCCCTAAGACAGGTCTACCAGTGATGACATTAATATATCTCTCTACTGGCCTCTGAGGTCGAGGTGAGGGTTCTTGATGTTTTTAGATAAACTGCTCAAGGTGTCCTTGACGTATGAGTTTTTCAATCTACTCTTTCAAGTCACGACAATCCTTTATGTCATAGTTGTAATCCTGGTAGAACTAATAATATTTGGACTCATCTCTTTTCATTGAGTCTTCATCGGGTGAGGATCTTTTAAAAGTCCATTCTCTTTAATATGTAGAAAAACTTCAGTTCTAAATATATTCAAGGGGGTTAGCTTGGACGTTGTGTCACGGATAAACTTCTAAACATGATGTTTGATGTAATGCTTATGTATGTCCATGTCTTTTAGTATGTTTATGCTTTGCACAACATATAGAGGGATGGCCGAAGGCTTAATAGTCCCATTTTAGTTGGGTTTGGTGGCCGCTTTAGGCTTGTAAATAAAGGTTGTGTCATGTGGACACTTGTGAGAGATTTTCAGTCTATAGTGGACCATTTTGACCCTTTGTTGTGCAACTATTCAGAGCTTGTAAAGTCTGTTTGTAATTTGTATTGTCTATGAAGTGTTTACAAAAATATTTGCTTGTGAATCTTGAGTGAGACGTTTCTCTAACCCGTTTTCTCTTTTGTATGTCCTGAGGGACCATGGGAGGCTTCGGGGAGGCTGACTTTTGTGGACGGACATGCAAGGGTGCCGCACGACTTAGGCAAAACCAACTAAGTCTGTGACAGTTGAGTGAAGTAACTTTGATTATTCGTTCCTCTTTCACTACAATGACCTCGAGGTCAGGATGGATTGTGGTTACTCTTGTTTCGGCCTCTTGCATTATTCCTCATACTTATCGGAGGTCATTATCTCGGTAGCAATATATTAATTGGCCTTTTAAAGTACCTCTAGTATTATCGTCAATGGTCTATCTACCAACAACCAGAAGAGATAAGATAGCTTGAGCCTCATTGTGAATGTATGTATTATGAGCAATGGATGGGCATCTTCTATGCCTCGAATTTTATTAGTGAATCGAGTGACGAAGTCTGTAAGAGTTTCTTCCTCCTCTTGCTTGAGTCCAAGAAACATTGCCCCTGATGGCCTCGAGTGCACATTCTCAAGGAAGTGAAGTTTGAACTCCCTCATGAGTTAGGAAAAAAAACTGATGGAAAGTGACTTCAGGCGGGCATATTATTCTTGTGTTAGGCCTCTTAACATGATCGAGAAAGTACAACACATCAAAGTGTCCGAAGTATTATACAATGACATTTGGGCATGGAAAACTACAATATACTCCATCAGGTCACCATTGCAATCGAATGTCTCCAATGATAGGAGGTGGAAGTTCATATTCCTCCTAGATTTTCTAGGTGAACGGTGACTAGCCCAAGGTGGGGTCAACTAGCACTTCCCCTTTGGATTGTTAGAACTCTCATCGCATCTCCTCCAAACGTCAGTCCATATGTCGTAGTTGGACCCATAAGAATTCCTTCATTGAATCATCAACTAGTTCTCGTATTTAGGTAAGGTAGAGTGGTAGCATGGCCTACTAAATTTCACAATTAGAGAGTGAAGTGCCCCTCGGTCGATGATTCGACGAGCCTTGGGCACTCTTGGGATGTTGGCACTACGTCGGGTGGGAAAGCCTTGATGGGTGCCGATGCTAGTAACGGTTGAGCCAGTGACTGCTGTTGAGTTGGTGGCATTGCCTATTAAGCTAATTGGGTTAAAAGTGAAGCAATAACATGTATCATGCCCGTTATTGTTTGCACTTGCTAGGTGAGATTTAAGAACATCTCGACGGGACGAGCAAGTGATCGCCCCTAGAAGTGAAAAGCCTAGGTCATTAAATAGATGCTAATACCGCATCGATATTTGTATTAAGGTGGATGCGTCCATATGTGGAATGGGTGGCTATTGCTCTCTTGAGTGAAAATACTGTGGGTCAAGAGCAAAGCATCCTCGCTCGAGCATTCATTGAGAGAGTCGATGATCGAGAGTTCCTACAACATTGGATCCACTTTCTAGCGTCAAAAATATTAAGGGAAGAAATCATTGATGTCCTGGTCAACTTGACGTGGTCCGAACCCGAATGTATTGGGTTATTTAAGCAGCCTCCAAAGTGAAAACGTCGAGCTCCCGAGGTGCCACCTACATGAAGATCGATATCGGAAGAGGTTTCCCGACCTGGTCCCTCTAACACCCAAGTTAGTAGCCCGAGGTATATAAGTGTGGACGTAAGTGATCAAAAAAGATAATCCTTTTTCTCATTCTATTGAAGATGAGTTTTTATATCTAGTTATAAAGAAATAAAATATTTTATAAAATATTCTATGGGGAGACACTCTCTAATCACCTTCAACATATTGAGGGACAATTCATAATCGTCTGTTTTGAACCTTGCTCACGTTAACAGATGAACGAATGATGACCTTCATCTTTTCCTTTCATATTGAACATGATTACGTATTGAATGACAATTAATTGATAACGTACTCTCTATTAGTTATCTTTCCTAGGCACCTCTAACAATATGGAACGACTCCAAAAATATATCGCACATTAATCAAATTCTAAGAAGGTTCCAAATCCTTGTTAAGGATTTTGACAACGATCATTGAATTAGTTTCCATAACAATTGATTGCATACCTTCATCAGCAGCAGCAGCAAGCCAAAGGCCGTCGCACACCGCAAACATCTTTGTGCAAAAGCTCCTAAGGCGGGAATCCTTACAAAAAGCTCCATCAATATTCAATATAAGCCAACCCACCTCTGCAGCCTCTACACCACCACAATGTGGGAAGGAGGGTCGGGGGCGTAGATTTAATAGCAATGCATGCTTGCCAAATCTATTTTTGAAACCAACTCAGCTAGCAAAGGACCAAAATTTTCATTCAATTTACCCGAGGGTCATTTCTGATCAGAAATAAAACTCATGCATGCAATCCACATTGATGAATGTAGGTTTAAAAGCCATAGGCATGTCAAAAATCTAGTTGTGATCTAAAATGTATACAGATAAACCATCACCGAACACCGATAATGAAAGAAAAAGCAGCACGAAGCTCACTCATAGCATGCAAAAACAAGCGCCAAGGCTTTAACATTCCTCAAGATAATCAGTACATGAAAAGCCCCAACACATAAAGGTAGAATAGAGGCTAGACATGGGCAAGTATCAAAGCTGCTACTGCAACAACAGACTTACAAGTTATGTTTCCATGATACCTTGAATCCACTTTTAAGTATCCATAATACAAAACTAGCTGACATACAAGAAAAATAAGGACAAGTAATCGGTTGATGACGGATATCATTCAAGCATAATAAGTCTCATGTTTTCGCTCATTACATGTACAATGCGTCCGGTGCAACTGAATCCAAACCAAACGGTAACCTGAGATAATGTGAAGCACAACTATTACCACAGTTAAAGAAAGAAAAAGGAAAAGAGCGTAAAGTAATAATACAAGATTGGTTTTCTTGTGATATTAAACCTTGCGAAGGTCACTCAATGACCATATGGTTGCGGAGGCCGAAACAGAAGTTGCTGTCTCCGCTGACCAGGCAACGGCATCATGTGTGGAGCTACACCTGGAGGAGCTACATGTTGAATATGAATCTGATTGTGCAGATGTGGAGGTAAAGGCTGATTGTGCAGATGTGGAGGTAAAGGTTGATTGTGCAGCTGTGGAGGCAATGATTGGTTGTGCAGCTGTACAGGTAATGGTGCCATTGCACCAGATCGTATGTCCCAACTAGCAGCAGCTTGAGGTACCTGAGGAAGTGAGACTCCATTGGAGATTGCCGGATATGGAATGCTGTTATATGAATGAACTGTGGCACCAGCCATGGGGACTGGCTGAGGACCAAGAAGTGATGGTTGATTGCTCACGGTAGCAATGTTTCCTCCAGTGTAGTCTCTGCCTCGGTCATTGTTGATCTGAAATAAAAGGAGGCAATATTTACACAGAAAGAACCACCACATGGCAACACAAGGTTTCCTATAAAAACTAAGCTACCAACAATATGGTAATACAAGTAACCACAGCAATCTACAAAGCAATACAAATTAAATACTCTAAATATGTTGGATGCTTCAAAACATATTCAGGTTCTGAGTAACACCTGAACTTTGTTATAGATGTAAGATGATTGTTTTGTCCATATATTGTTTATATATAAGATAATTATATTTCAAGATGTTAAATACAAGCAATTCGCTATCCAATCATAACTAAAACACGCCACACCTACCTTGATTATTCTTGTTTTACCAACTCCTCGTTCTAAATCCAGATTTCAATGACAGGTAGTCAACCCAGTATCAAGAACAACACAAAACAGAAATCAAATGGCATTCTTATCAGGAACTCAATTTTCTGGAAATAAGGATAAGTACCACAGATTTATGGCACCCCTTGTACTTGGACTATAAGAAGTCATGTATATTAAGCAAATCTGGGCAGCAAATTCAGCATGATCTGATTAGGTTCTAAATCCAAAGGCAATAGAGAAGGTCGTTTGAAGGCCACAAAATGATCAAGAAATAAAAAAAAGTTGATTTTCTTGGTCAGGCCCTGGACTACTTTTGGCACTTCCACAAGAGACTAATGCTATTCCTCTTACTGCATTCTGCAAGATCACAGCTATTCAGCAAAATGTTAACAACAAGGTTCACACTAAAATGACAATATAATATGGGGTTTTCTGATAAATTTAGCTAAGATCCACTCCTTAAAAAAAAATAATTACCAAAATACTATTCTTGTTCCTCACCCTATATCAAGCATCCTCTGGCATTGTTTACAATTAATCTTTATTACATGTGTAGTAGAGAAGTGCAAGTTGCATTAATCATTTATCACAACATTTATCCTCCTCCCTCCTCTTCCTCCACCACCTCCTCAACTTCCTTTTTGGCTCCAGTACGAGATTGCATTCATTAATCGATACACTGCTCTTCATGTTAGATGAAGCTCGCAAAATCCTCAATAGATACACCACTCTTCAAGAGCTTGCTTGAAAACAATACCCATTTTTATATCCTCAGAATAAAGAAATGAATACTATTCTGTTTCTTATTTTTAGAACACAAATCGCCAAGTTGTCAGCGGAAAGAAAACCCAAGTATTACTACTCATCCTATCATAATAGAACAAGACTTAATTAGCAAGAAGGTAAATAAAACTACTGATGTCCTCAAGCAAGTGGGTAGCAGGTTATGGAAACAGTCAGCCCAACAAGACTTAATTTCCTGGTGATCTAATATTACCTTCACATTAAGATCAGTGTGGCGTGAATAAGTCAGATGAAGCTTGCAAAATCCTCCTTCATAAATACAGTGTCCTTCAAGGGCCTGTTTGGCGATATTTGCAGTCTGAATATCTATAATGCAAGCATAAAACCAATCAAAGAACCACACAAGTCCATGTATTTATAAGAGAATTGATAGAAAACTCAGTTTTCACAACCCAGAGAAATGTAAATGGAGGAATAGTATATACAGGTAAAAACATGAAGTGTGCATAAAAATCACAAGAGCAGACAAGATTAAGCAGCTAATCAGTACTTCCCACCTCAGGATCAAGCAAAGCAGCACTACAACCTAGTTCAAATTAACTAACATACTTTAGAAAAGAGGCTACGGTAAGTTTGATCTCCTTTAAAGCCAATAATCAAATATCATCTCTCTGGAGGCAGAAAGTTACGAGAGAATACTAACACATAGCATAAGAATGTACATGACTATGATATATTTAGACAAATAACAATATGTCTACGTATGCATAATCTAATACAGGAAATTTCATTGAAAAAAAACATCAATCCATTGTGAATGAGTATTCCATTTATTTAGTCAAGATTTCAAAGCCATCCTGCTAAAAACCAAATCTAACCAAACAACAAAGTCTAGAAATCTAAATTGCTCCTTCCCATTTTGATTCAAGAGATACAAACCTGGACTAAAGGCCACCTAGAAGAACATGAACCATTCCTCCACTTACCAATAAGCTGCTTCAAGCCAAGTTCAGGCTCGAGTCTTCACCCATGGTATAGGATCAGGACTAAACTTTGAATGTTAAAAATCTCTTGAAGTTCATAGATATGATGTTACAACTTGTGAAGTTTTTATGCCTAGAATTTTAGTGCCACACATTCTTTTGATGCACGAGTTAATTAGTTGAGATAAATGTTAAGTGCATCTTAATCTTGTATCATTTCATCTTCAAAGCCTTCATGTTCATGTAAACCCTGCTAGGTATGGTTCATTCTGCTAAATCATGTGCCCTGCCTCACAGATATGCCGAGAGTCTTTGGGACCTAGTGGACCTTAAGGCTAAAACAACTATGCCCAATGAACAAAGGAACAATAACTTAGCAACCAAACAGCTCCAGCAACAATGTCACAGCATATTCAGGTAGTGCTTCAAGATGATTACTAGGATATTAAATTAAAGAGTGAAATCCAATCAAACAACAATGTCACAGAATTTTCAAGAAGTGCATCAGAATAATTACCAGGATATTGAATTAAAGCCTGGAATCCAGCATTCTTCTCAAAAAGAGCAATCTTCTGAACAAAACCAAAAGCAGAAAATACCTAAGAATGAAAAATAGAAGAGTCAGCCATAGTTGCAGTTTAGCATTCCTCATTATGTTAAGAAACTACAATAAATTACCTCATGAAGAACATCAATGGTAACAGTATATTGCATATTTTCAATTGATGCCAGAAGAACGTTACTCTCTGGTTCTTGCTTCATGCCATCCTGATCAATACCAAATTTTATAGATAAATCAAAAGAATAATAATGATACAACACTATACCACATTAGACTTGATTTTGCTTCTCTTGTGACGTCACCCACAACATAATCAGCTTGACAATCAAATCACAAATACACTAAAATTCATCTATTTCTATTACCTGCCCAGCAATGTCTATAGCTGATGGGGCAACTGGAAGGTAAGGATTAGTGTAGTCCCTGGATGAATGCAAATAAACATGCATATGAATCAGAAAAAAGGGAAAAGGACCTAATTTCAAATTTTCAAAAGGCAGATTTACAGTTGCAAAATAAATGTTTGTCTTTGTGCAATTGTGCAAGTACATATAGTATATTATAATAGAGGATACATTTGGGTACTCAACAAGAAAAAAACTCTTAAACTTCATGCACAAAGAGCAAACATGTGCATATGCTCCAGAACTAATTTTCATTTTTGCTGACAACTGTTCAGACTGATTGTCAAAAATGGACTGTTCCAGACTTTGCTCACACATAACACTTAATCTAACAACATTACTAGGGTGTTTACCTGCTTCTGTGGCTTTGGAACTTCACATTTAGATCTGTATGTGCAGAAAAATTTATCTTGAGCGTACAAGGACCAACATGTTCTTGAAGCAAGTATCTGCAGCCAGGAAAATAAAAGATATTAATTTCCAAATTGCAACACCAGTGTATCTAAAAAATGAATCACAAATGACCACCACACCTTGGAATACTTCTTCCATCAAGAGCATTTTTTGCAGAAGATGCAATTTCAGAATCAGAAAATTGAACCAGTGCCTGTGGACAAGAGAGTGGATAATGATAAAGACAGAATTGTTTTATAAAAAAAACCTCAAAAGTTAAAAAGAAGGATAGTATCACCTGGAAACCGGCTGTTTTCTCAAAGGTAGCAATCTTATGAACAAATCCAAAAGCAGAGAATACCTAAAATACCATGACTCTTAGTTTGTTGAAAATGATTGACTGAACGAGCATGAGAATGTCAAATGGTAACAAAGTTACACCTCCTAAAACAAGACCAGTGCAAAATACTCCCTTAGAAACAAGAAACCAATACCATACAAGATAAGGGATTATATGAAGTTCCACAACCTCAGAATGGAACGAATATACCATGATTTGTAAAGCTACAACTATAAAAGTATGAAAGAGTATCCTCTAGGGTCAAAGGCTAGCCTAAAGGAAGCAAGAGAGGAAAAAAGCGTAGGCTGGATTGTTATTGAAACATGACAAGTCTAAGACAAGTATCAATAAACTTGTAATTAGATATTTCAGTAAATATTCAACGTAGATTGACAATGTTTACTAAGAGCCATCAAAGTCAAGCAACATGTGGAAGTAATTAGAAGTTCCAATAGATATGATCATCAAAAATTTATTATTTGAATAGGACTCAGTGAACTAATGGCTGGAAAGCATCTCTCTTATCAGACGCATGTAGAAAAGTTCTAACTCAAGAACAATTACAATCACTACCCACAAGGATTTAGGTACCAGCACATACTGGAAACTCCATGTCGGACTAAGTTCCATACCACTTTACTGCCGGGAGAAACATTTGGATGACTTCCTCCACCTTTTTCCATCCATCCTTGGGCCTCTCAAATTCAGAATTTGTTTCTGGCAACTTTACAACATAAAAAAGTGGAGAAAGATACCAGATCTAAGTCAGAAGTGAAATTTCTAATGACAATACCCAGAAAGAACTTCTGGAGATCACAAGAATTATGCAATCAATTGCCAAGTCAAAGGAAGCAAGAGGTGGCAATAAATAGTGTCATTATCTTAGTTATCTGCTTTTGCAAGTAGATAAAGTTTCCAAAAGCTAATTTTGCACATTATAAGATCAGTGTCCATACTTAAATTATGCCACAAAATTTATGACCCAAGGAAGAATCAACATACATCCATAACACCGATAGCACAAATTAAATACTAACTAATTACTAATGTAGATTAAAGAAATTATACCAGTAAAAGAAATTCGCAAACAGATGTCTCACAGAAAAGGTATGCCTTAAAAAGAGAACCTAAAGAAAAGACAGGGTCCAGGGGAGAGAGACAAGAAAGTGCTCAGCCCTAAAGGCATCGAAGTTAAAGGGAGGGAGGGAAGGGATAAGTAACAGTTGAAAGCAAGGAGGAAATGGAGAAAGAGGGGAGATGGAGAAAGAGGGGGAAAGGGAGAGGGAGAGAGGACAAACACACATGCGCTTTCTCCCGATGCCAAAGGCTGCCATCGAAGAAGATTCCGAAACAGGGCCTGCTGATCCATTTAGATCATGTCAAATAACAATCATAAGTACAAACAGAGAATTCTATCACATCAAATTCTTCCATAATAAAAAATGTGCCCATGTAGACAATCAACTGAATGCTTGCACACAGTGATAGCTCGATATCTCTTACCAGGTGTAAAACATCTATGCTGACATCACCAGCTTCAACACCCTCAACAGTTACTAACAAAACATTGCTTGCAGCATCTGCGGTCACCTTATTATTAACTATTTCCTGCCTGTTGGAGTACTGAAGATATACAGTCTTTCCTCGTATTTGTGCAGGCTCTGCTGACGAGGCATAGTATGAGATCATCGCTATGGCTTGATTTAGATCTGCCTGCATTAAGTAATTCCAACAGAGCACAGAAGAAAGCCACTCAGACATCATTAAAGTGCTAAATGCTAAACAATTGTGAGTACTCACAAACTCGATGAATGCCTGATTCCGATTTGCTCCAACATTGCACTTTGTTTTGACAATCGTACCAAACGGCTTTCCTAATTCAATAAGTTCCTCGTCCGTGCACTCCCATGGCAGATTTCTTAGATGAATTACTTTCGATGGTGGCTGGGTGTATCGGAACTGCGGTTGACCAGAGATAGATGACATTGTGCTGCGACGACAAGAGGTCTAATGGAAGCTTACGTATCACGGTTCGGCAAACAAGATCACTGCTACACAAAAAACTATTTTAATGACAGGATCGACCGTACGAAAGATTGCACGAGCATTACGAAGTGTGCTGCGACGTAATATTAGGGTAAAAAGATCAACTTGCAGTTTTGTTCCCAATAATCACAAAGTGCTGTGACATCGATTCGGATTCAAGGTGCCTAAAGAAGCATCACATTGAAATCCAAACTCTATGGAAATTAGATCAACTGGCACGTGAAAATATCCCAAATGAGGCCATGATGTTGTGATTAGGAGGGAAGACGGGGGACAGAAAGAAACGAACAGAACTTGTCAAGAAGACATAATTCTCATAGCAATCCCAAGCCAAATCCGAACGACGAAAAAGGGATCCAGCGAAAACCACGCAAAGAAGAGCATTTTAGAGCTACCTGGAGCGGAGCCTGAGGAGATTCCACAAGAGACGAAAGTAATCGACAGAGATGAAATGCCTTGGAAGAAATAACCCACCGCGATCACCACCCTCTTCGCTTCTCCTTCCGACGATCGTTATTGGAATACAGAGTTAGGGTTTCTTAATTGGGTTGGCGATGCCGTAAAGGCGACGTTTCGCAGTGTATCTCGTCGGTGACGTCGGACCGGGATTCGCCAACGGTCCAATATAACTCGGTCCGGCCCAGCTGAACCAGCAATTTATGGCAAACTACTCGCATGCACGACTGTGTCTCTTTAAGAACCAAGTTTGAGTCATTACATAGTTGGAAAGAACAACTCTGAATTCTGCAATCTAAAAGTCTGATAGAACTTACAATTAAATAATTCAAACGAACATTAGTTCGAGCTTAAATGTTTTGGACGAATGTTTTAGATACAGTAGGTTAATAGATTGGATCGTCGCTTGCAATCTCATAACATGACAATGCATAAAAATCTGATCAACCTATTTTGAGTGTCTTGTTCCTTTTATGTATGTTTCAATCTAGTGGTGGAGGAATATAAGGGTCATAAAAGCTTAATTTCTAAAATTCCTATAAATCTTGGCTAAGAGAAAAACAAATTATCTGATAGTTTGGTTGAATGTATTTCTGAAATGTGATACAACTCAAAGACCTGCAAAATTATAAATAATTATCGCTATCCGAAAACTGAAATCTGATAAACTAAGTCGTAACCGAGCAGAAGCACAATATTTGGTTGAATGACAACTTAAAGCAGGATGTTTTCTCAAGTCAATTCTCCTAAAAACACAGCAAGATATAGGAGATTGATCTGTGTTCTTATGACTATGCATGGTTTGGAACCAAAAGTCAATAATGTATTACAGAATAGCTTTAGTTTCATGTGTACTCAACCAGAATGACTGTATATAAACAATTCCACTGTATTTCTGATAGTGTGGCTATGATACAAAGATTTCTCTTTGACCATAACAAGTATATGAGGTGGAAGTTCGATATCGGTACAATGACTACCATATATACACGTATACATGGTACAAATGCATCAACTCATGAGTCAAACATATCTTCGGAGATAGTCAACCCGAGTTGGATGTTTCAGCTTCAGGAGAGCCTTCAGTTCATGCTTCCGCACCATCTCTCTGGAGATATTGAGGTTTCCCGCAATCTCTCCCAAAGTCCTATCACCTTTGCCGTCAAGCCCATACCTCTGTCTGATTACCAAGCTCTCCTTCGGCCTTAGTGAATCCAGCTACAGAAAGAAATCATTGAAATCATTTTGCAACGAGTAATGAATACCAAATGTAAGATTCACTCAGTACTTGATCTGTTTCTGATTTTCTTTTCCCTTTTTGATTGTTAATAAGTTATTAAATTTAAATGAGATCAGAGATTCAACCTTTTGATCTACAAATAATGGCCCTATAATGCAAAATTTTATGGAAGTAGTCGATGAATTTTAACTGGTGTTGAGCGCGAGGACTCTCATCCATGAGCTGGAAGAGTTTCAAAAGATGTTGAAGTACACTTACCACATCATCAAGAGCAAGTCGTAGGACTGCAGGCTGTCTACGTTTATCACCTCCTACATCAATATCAGTGATGCCGTTGATAAACTCTTCTTGTGTTACCACATGCCGTGCATTGAGTGAGAGTACTGGTTTTGATGCCTTCATAACTTCATTATATCTTTCCAAGGATATTCCAACCCTGTCCACGATCTCTTCTTCGGTAGGCAATCTTCCCAGCTCAAATGATAGCTCTAGTTTGGCTTTTTTAATTTCTTGCCTGACCTGCATCACCGGTAGATTAGTCAATGAGTATAGGCTCACAAAATTATAGAGCTGGATGAGTTACCATTCCAGCATGATTCTTGCAAATCTGATGCAACAATTTGCAAAGGAGAAGGTGAAAGATTATTAATTGTTTCACTTCCCAATAATAGGTTCTCAGCTAGCATATGTAAATACTCAGTCACACGAAACTAACACTGGACATAAGGTTTACCAATAATTAGTTCCATGGACAATCACGATTCAAACCTTAGAAGAAGCTGCCTTAAAACTATTTATGAGATTAAATTCATCTGAGAGGACAAAACCATACATGGTACTGATATTTATAACCACTCAAATTATTTCAAATGAAAGAGGTTTTTCTTTAAGGAGATCATGAACATTTTGTTTTCAAAGGAAGCAAAATTGATGGCAACTTTACAAGTAATTTAATAGAATTTAGAACATACCGATTCAATCCCAAAAGGAACTTTTGTGAAGCTTGAGAGTGTCATTGATCGAATAATAGAATGCCGAATCCAAAAGAGGCTGTATGTGGATAGACGGAAACCACGCTTTGGTTCAAACCGATCGATGGCAGTAATGAGACCCTTTGCTCCCGCTTGACAAAATTCTTGGAACTTCTGGCCGCTTGCAATCTCTGGATAATACTTATTTATTACAAACAAAACTAGCCGAAGGTTGTGCTGTAGCAAATTGAGGAACACATTAATTCTCTGCTGGGGAAATAACATTTTGCTAAATATCAACTAAGATAAAAGTTCCTGATGGGTCAACCAAAGTTAGAATGCTATCCATGAAACAGAAGAATACATCTATAGCAAGGAAACAGGGTTCTGAGATTCCTTCCTTTTAAGTTTTACTTTCTTGGTAACTGTACAGTGGCTTAATGATGATTGCAAGTTGTGAGACAAGGTTACAAAATGGCATATTATGGAAGCGAATTGGCAATATGCAGTAATCATGATTAATTAGACATCCAACTAAGACGATATAACTGTCACTCATTTTATCTGGGAACTTCCGACTGGTTCTAGAAAAGAAGTCGACCACAACTAAGAAGCAACATTAATGTATCAAAACATGGTGAATACATGACACGAGACCAGGGAAAACTATTAAGCATCCATATATACATGTAAACAGATGATCTTAGGTGTCGTTTGCATTCTGTACAGCATTATTAGGTTCGAAGATGAGAAGACATCTCTAAATGTAATTGTGCAAGAAGTTAGTAGCATCAACTGCCAGGTATTTCCTTCTAAATTCATGATTGCTACAAATTCCATTACGCTACGATCTCAGATGTGACATATCAATCAACATTACAATTGTAGGATGGAATCAAAATACTTTACGGTAAAGTGTGTGCCTACAAGAAAAGGAAAAAATATAAAAGGAACTGTATAATAAGAACACTGTCTGGATAAATCATTCGAAAAATTTATGTATGGGCTGAAGGTTCTCTGATCTAATCGGATACCTTGATTAGCTTGTCTCTTGCTGCCCGAGCAACTTCTATATGTCTTCTCAATTGTGGAACACTCATGTTAACTGCATCTGCCAGCTCACCGTCGGTCGGCTCCCTGTTCAGATCCTTGTACATGCCCTCCTTCACTTGAAGTATTGCCTATGGTTCAAGAAGAACAGGTCCTTGTCAATATTGGAAAAGTGGAAGTATAGCATGAATCAAGCCAACCTTTTTATCCTGCTGTGAGACACAAACTATTGTACCAACATTTTGGTAAAAAAATTTCTTATGAACTATTTCAGTAAAAGAGTAAAGAATGCCAAATGTAGTGTTGGACATCAACAGCCTGATTTCCATTTCATCTACATCTCTGCCTGTGATCCAATGATGACTTGAGTAGATCAATCAGAGGTATAATTGCAAAAAATGATGATGCTTAGATCCAATTACAACTAGATCTGAATAGTATCCTTTCTATACGTCTCAGTCTTCAGTCAGGAACAGGAAGGTCTGGGAAGAACCAACCACACAATCACAGACAGCAACATCAAAGGAATTCTAGTAGAATCTTCCTGAAATAATTCGAAGAACCAAGATATATTGATAATTACACAACAATTTAAAGATGAAGATAAATCTTACCTTCATGGGTTGCATCAGCTTGAAAAGCCAAGTATGCTCGGCCGAGCTAAGAACTGGCGGTATCTTCATCCTCTTCCAGTCCAAACTGTCCAAATTGGTGGAACCGGAGTACTCCCTGACTAATATCTCCACATCCTCATCAAACTCCCTTCCTTCGCCTCTCCTTGCTTCCGTCCCCGCCTCCTCCTTCGGCCTGCGCCTCATGGATATCCTTTCCTCGAGACCCAACCTTTTCACCCTCTTCTTCCGGTTCCTGACCACATTGTCCACCCCCAAACTCCCATCTTTCACCACGGTCTGGCGGCCGCTCTCCTCCCCGTCCGAGACATCGGCCGGGCTGAGCTTGTAGATGTTCTCGAGGGCGGCGGCAACCTCGCTGTAGTCCGGATCGCGAGGGCAAGCATCGGAGGGAGCGGCGGTCGTGGGGGCCGCGACGACGGCGACGGCCTTCCCTCTCTTGGACCGCTTGGCGGCTCTCGCTGGGCTTTTCTTCGGCTCCTTCACGGCCTCCTGCGTGACGGCCTCCGGCGGCGTGACCAAGGCCGAGCACTTGGCGCCGGGGCCGCCCTTGAAGGCCAAGAAGAAGAAGGGTCGGCGGAGCGGCGACGACCGGCGGACGGCGAGGCCGCTGCCGAAGGGCGATCGGGAGGCGGAGCTGGGCACAGCGACGACTCCCATGCCGAGACGCGAATCTCGATGCACGACGACCGGTGATGACGGCGGTAAGCGTGCGGAGTTCGGAGAGAACAACTTCCGGTGGGATTTCGAGACGGTGAATGGAGCAGGGAAAAAGTAGCAGTTATATAGCGAGGGAAAATGGCTACCACACGCTGGTAGACCGGGGAAGCAATCCAACGGCCATGATCGGCCGAAGAAGGGGATCGGACGGAGAAGAAGGTGGTGATCGAGGGGGGCGAGACGTGGAGGGTGGGGAAGCAGGACGAGGCGGGGGCGGGGCGGGGCGAGGCGGCCAGATATGTTTGGGGATGCAGGGAGGACCCGTGGATGGCGTCGGATACACGTGGCCGACGCTCATAAGCGAACGGATATTTCCGGCGTATCTAGTGCCGGCGGGGCCCATCGGACCACGTAGAGGGCTCGCCGACCACTCGGATTTGAGGAATTTTCGTGGCACGTTAAAGTTTCCATGTGGATCAATTGGATCCAATTATCGCAGAGGGGAGTCGTCTCCTCTCCATCTCTCGTGGCCTCCGGAAAAGAAAGGGTACGACATACGTT